ATTTAAACTACCTTACACAAACCTTAAACCTTAACCTAATATAACTTTAACTTTTTAAACTTTAATCTAATATAACTTAACTTTTTTGTATCATCTGAATCTCGTTATATCGTGTTTCAAATTAAAAAAAAAAAATTTTTTACTTTAAGAAAAATTGGTGCATGCTACTATAATGTCTCTTCTTAATCAAAAGAAATATCCAAAGAGTAACCTTTTTATATTTAAACAAAATAATACTATTTACAAGTATCACATTATTAATAAAGGATTTTATCTACCAAAAAATGAACTACACCATACTTTTGTGCATTCTTCTAATAGAGTTCAATACAAAATTTTGAATAACTTTTTAGTTCAAACCAGTTGGAGAAGAGATCAATTAAAGCATATGATAGAATGTGAAATTAAATATGAGTCAAATGGACCGATCTTTAAAATTATATTTTAAGAAGATTCTCAAAAATATATTATAGAATCTAAAGAATTTCCAAGTGCTGCTACCAATAATTATTTACAGGTCCGTTTAATTTTAATACAGTCAAATCTTTCTAAATACATAACCGAGGGGTAGTCAAAAAATCTTGCATTTAGAGAAGTATTGTATTTAGAGAGGCAAAATCTATAAGTGTTATATGAGTTGGAGCCAAATAAGGCTATGCAATTAGAGAAGTCTTTCATAGACTATGCATTTAAAGAATATATATTTAGTAAGGTCTAACTGTAATTTTAATATTATAAATATCTACTGTATTCTAATTTTTTATTTCTGTCAGAAAAAAAATCCAAATAATGCAAACTCGATATACATATATTTTGTCTTAATGTTCTGGATATAGAACAAGAATGTGAAAGGAAAAATAGATCTTCTAAACCATTTAATGCACTGAGTGAATCTATGAAAACGAAATATTCTCGTGCATTCTCTATTTAATTAGGTGAAGTCTTTAAAAATGAGGTTTTCAACTTTTTAAATTCAATTGATAAACCAGTTTTACAACAAGTTCAATTCCATGTTTAAGATAAGGATTACTTGGCCAATTATCATAATAAAGAAAATAACTTTTTTGATATATTTGTAAAAGCTATTGATCAAGGTTCGATTTCTCAGAATGCTTACTGAAATTTAGCCGCACTCCAACCAGAATTACTACAGGATCACAATATTTCAGATGCAAAAAAAAATTAAATAAGAAAATGAACACAAAAATTCTTATTATTATTTTAAATATTAAGGATGTATCTCTTATGACAACTAATGAGATACCTCATATTAATAATCTGGATATTGAAGATGAGATGGTGCAATATATTAGAAAAGCTGGATATAGATGAATTACAGATATATTACTTTTTATAATTCCAGGTCTTATTAAACAAAAGATTCTCAATATAAATAATCCAGTAATTAATGTTCGCTTATCAAGTGGGATGGCAAATTTTTTTTATATATTTAAAAATTTAGGTGATAATTATGATCTGAATACAGTATATTAAATTCAGATTTAACTACATATTCAGATTTTAATCATTACCTTCTTTAGAGGTCATCTAAAGCCTTGTAGTATTTTCTATATACTACATGACTTTAAATTTACAAATCAATAATTTAGAAACTATATACTAGCTTTAGACTATCTCTCTAGCTTAAATAAATTAGTTATTTTAAATCAGTTTTCTATATCAGGAGACAGGCGTAATGTAAGAAGAAAGATAAAGTATGTGATATTAATATTCACTATTTTGGATAATATTTCTAATGTTTATAAGGCCAACTCACATAATACTATAATTCTATATCCAGGAGGTGAAAACTACGAGATGTTGTACCAAGTAATGGGACCACTAATTAGCAAACTGCATGGTTTAATAGTGAATAGATTAAAAGATTCTGATGGAATCAAATAGAAAGTCAATTTATATGACTAGAAGTTTATAGCTACCATATTAGGGTTTAATGCGCCTAATGCCAAATATTTTTGTCTATGATATTTATGTACAAAAAATGATATTAGAAACAAAGACAAAGTATACAGGATTGAAAAGACATAGATCAACTTAAAAAAGAATTTTTTAATAACCAAACTTCAACTTTAAATTTACCACCACCCGGATATATTAAATCTTTTCTTCTTCTAATGATACCATTAAATTGCTATATGCCAGATGAACTTTACGTAATGTTAAGAATTTATGATAGGCTTTGGAAGTTAGTGATTCAAGAATTAAAGTCTGAGAATAGATTCAATAATGATACTAAAGCAACTATAAGCACGAAAATGCAAAGAATTTTGGTCAGCTTTCAATTTTGGCAAGATAATAGTATGCAAAATTGGTCTTACACTCCTCTAATAGGGGTGACAAAGAAAGGTTTTGCGTAATTTTAATTTTGAAGTTATTTTTCATGAAGAAAGGGCTAGTCTAATTACCCATTTGTGAAGAGACTTTTATTCACTTTACAAGCTTATGAATGATCGAAAAACCAATTCAACTCTCTTCGCTACCCAGGCAAAAAAATGGTTCAACCTATTCCTTACATCTCATCAAGATGAACCAAATACTATATCTTTTAGAAAAGGGCTTTATTGCCCCAAAGATGTTATGCCATATATATATATCCTGGTTTATCATTTACCAGAATTCATGGAACAATATAAACGCTTCGGTTTGGCAGTATTTTCATATATAGCTTTGAAAAAAAAAACTATGATCAAGTATCCATTTTTTTCAGAAAAACAATAAAAGATGGTGGCAAAGGCATAAATAGGAAGTCTGCAATTTTCGAGATTCTCAGCTATGAAAATCGGTTATTATATTTTAACCAAAAATCAAATTCTAATCGTGCTTATAAACCTCAATATTTTTATATTAAGAAAATATAAAAGTTTAATTTTATTTTGATATTGCAAGTACTTCTCTATCTGATGTTTTGAGGAAAGTAAAAGATTATAATATACCATTTTCAGTATTATTCTGCATTTCATTAGCAATCTCAATAGGTTGTATGTTTGTTATAGTGGTCCCATTACTTGGTACAACATCTCGCAGTTTTTCACCTCCTGGATATAGAATTATAG